ACACACAAAAACACACAAAAACCTTTGCACCCCCCCCTTCCCACACAAAAACAACAAACAAATAAACACACATACACAAGCTAATAAACATACACACAAATACACTCACACAGATTTGCACATAATACATACACATGCTCACACATACGCACATAAACGTGCATGCACACATACACACTGAAATACCCTTTGTTTTTTCCGTAATATTTCTTCCCCCTTGCCGGCAAATGCAACATTAAAAATGTTTTGCATTCGTGTGCATTATTTCCCCTCATTTTACGGCTAATAGCACCTTCGAAGTTTTCCACACTATACTTCTCACAACATCTACCGTCTGGACGCCTCCCCTTTTTACTTTATCGTCCCCAAATCTATCTTAACCACCCCCCAAAAAAAAATAATAATTTAAAATGAAAAACCTTGTTCACCAGTTATTTTCGTGAGACAGACAGATTCATGCCAAAACTTTTCCTTGCCAGAAAATGAAGACACTTTTAATCTACATGAAAAAAAAAGTTTTAATAGAATCCTGTCTATCATAATATTATTAGTATGCTTAATCGCATAAACAGGCGTGTGGAACAAGTGTAACTTCATACCATGTTACGGATTTTCCCCACTAAAAATCAACGATAACGTAGACCGACAGTGACTTTACATTCCAGGGTCAACTAATATAGTATGTTTAAATTCTCGACAAATCCTTGTCAGCATTATTGTTGATCCAAGTGTCAGGTTGCATTTTTTAAAATTTTGTTTATAGAGGTTTCAAAGTTCAATAAATATTTTGGTGCCTGTATTTTCAAACTCCCTACATTATTTGAGTGCTGGTTGTTTACATTATGTTACTAGCGTAGATAAGGTATAAAAAAAGAAGATTATTTTATGAGGTAACTGGTAATGTAATCTCCATTTCGTTTTACAGCTCCGTAATAATATTTGACTATCTAAAACAGTTTTTAACACCCTATGTACCACCAAAAACGCTCAGATCATCAAGTGACAAAACAACCATTGTTAAACCTAAAATAAATTACAAATCATAAGGCCAAAGCTCTTTTTCATAGTTTGGCCCACTTGTTTAGAATAGGCTTCCAAAAACTATCAGAGAAGCAGAAAACCTAGAGATTTTTAAGAAGAAACTAAAAGCATTTCTATTATCATCATATTCCAATTAGACAGAATCCATCCAAGCTGTAGATTATCGTGAGTTTGTATGTGCGTATGTAAGTATGTGTGTATGTGTGTATGTATGTGTGTATAGGTGTGTGGTGCGTGCGTGCATGAATATGTGTGTGCACGCGTATGTAATACTATGTGCCTTGAAAATTGATTTGTAAATCCATAATATGTATCATGTTATTAAGCGCATAGAGCATTGCATAAGTGGATTTGCACTATATAAATGCTATCCATTATTATTA